TTTTTGAGACAGAGTTTTACTGTGTCTGTGTCACCCAGGCTGGACTGCAGTGGTGTGATCTTGACTCACTGCAACCTCCACCTCCTGGGTTCAAGCGGTTCTTGTGCCTCAGCCTCCCGAGTAGCTAGGATTACAGGCGTGTGTGACCATGCCCAGCTAATGTCTGCATTTTTAGTAGAGATGGGTTTCTCCATGTTGGCCAGGCTGGTCTTGAACTCCTGACCTCAGGTGATTCGTCCACTTTGTCCTCCCAAAGTGCTAGGATTACAGGTGTGAGCCACCGTGCCCGGCCCCTGGGAAATGTTAGTGTAATGCAAGGGAGTTGCATCCAAAGTATATAAAGAATTCCTGGCCAGGTGCGGTGGCTCACTTGAAGTCAGGAATTGAAGACCAGCCTGGCCAACATGGTGAAACCCCATCTCTACTAATAATACAAAAAGGCAATTAGCCAGGCGTGGTGGCAGGTGCCTGTAGGCCCACCTACTTGGGAGGCTGAGGCAGGAGAATTGCTTAAACCTGGAGGCGGAGGTTGCAATGAGCTGAGATCGCACCATTACACTCCAGCCTAGGCAACAAGAGTGAAAACTCTGTCTTAAAAGCAAAAAGTAAAAAAGTAATAAAGTCCTGTCTGACTTTGTGCTCTAGAGATGAAGAATCATTACATGTTCCACAGAGTAAGCATGAAGGTTTTCACATGCTACCACATGGCCACCTGTTAGCCTTGCAGGGGGAAAATAACATTACAGGTTTTCAGGAAAACCGCTGAAGCTTTCTTTATCATTACCAGAATGTTGGCCTTCATTGCCCCCTTCTGAGTTGAAGGCAAGGACTCAAGTGCACACACTAAAGCTGGCCATTGGTGACTATCACTAGATGCCACTATTCAGCCTTCCATCCACTCTCAAGTGCACTCAACATGAAGGGACAGAAAAACCGTTTCCCCGTCTCTGCAGGACAGAGTGCAGGAGGTGGCTGGGACTACCCTCACCACTCCCTTGAAATCAGCACTTCCCTAGGCCTTGCGTTTACCTTTCGTGCTTTGCCCGGTGTGTTGGGAGTCAGTCCCCGCCGCTTGCTGGGTGTTCGGGGAGCACTGCCATACAGCATCTCTGTTTCTGTCTGCTTTTTGTTCTTGAGTTGCTGTGTGAAAGTCAGAAGCACCAGTGATAAATCTTAGGAAGAGAGCAGGCCTGGGAGGGGAACAGAAGCAGGGCCCAGAATCTAGGCTCATGTCTCTGCAGACAGAGCTAAAAAGAGCTGCCATGGGCTCCCAATTCAACAAACCCCGGTCCCTGGCAGAGACTCTGGGCTGCTCGGATGACCATCTTACTTACTCTTTCCTGTCTGTCTCTCTCTCTCTCCAGTTGACGCATCTCCCATTGTTCTGCCACATACTCCGTAAATTTCTGCCCATTTACCAGAAATGCCTTTGAATGTTCCTGTTCCCACAGTTCAGTCTGTGCCTTCAACTCCTCTTCCAGCTGAGACCAGAAAGAAGGACGTGTTCATAACTTCAAATCTTTTTTGTAAGGCCCAAATGAAATGATTTCCCTAGAGGGTGACTCTTCCATCCCAGAGCATCATTAGCCTCACTTCAGGTAGCTGGGCACACAGGCTACAGGTCAGAGTGACTGGAAATCAAAGCCTGGGACATTTCATTCACACCATATACCAGAGTGGAAAATGGCAAGAACCCAAAGTTTGACCACTAAGGTTTTGGTGCCTGAAGCTGGAGGCAGCATAGGGAAGATCAACAATATGAGGCAAGCAGTGAACATGAAGAGCAGGACTCTGGAATCAGACTTAATGGGGTTCAATCTGGAATCGCCCTCTTACTCCTGTGAAGCAGTCAGCAAATTTACGTCACTTTTTTTCTTTTTTTTTGATAGAGTCTCACTTTGGCACCCAGACTAGAGTGCAGTGGCATGACCTCGGCTCATTGCAACCTCCACCTCCCGGGCTTGTGCCTCAGCCTCCTGAGTAGCTGGGATTACAGGCATGTACTACCACACCTGGTTAGTTTTTGTATTTTTAGTAGACACGGAGTTTCGTCATGTTGGCCAGGCTGGTCTCGAACTGCCTGGGCTTCCAAAGTGCTGGGATTCCAGGAGTGAGCCACCACATCCAGCCAGATTTACCTAACTTCTTAGTACCTCAGTTTCCTTGTCTGTACAAACGGATATAATACCAACCTCACAGGGATGTTGTAAGGATTAGATGAATTACTAAATGAGAGTGTTTTGAAATGATATCCCCGACACTCAAAAAGTGGTTATTATTATCAAAGTGGAAAATGGTAATGAAGCTGACAAGACTCTCTCTCAGAAGCTTTCCTGATGTAACTGGCTGAATTGTGTTCCTCTCAAATTCAAATGTTGAAGCCTTAACCCCCAGTACCTCAGAATGTGATTGTATTTGGAGACAGCATCTTTACAAAGAGAATTAAGGCCAGGTGTGGTGGCCCATTTCCTGTAATCCCAGCATTCCTGAAGCCCAGATGGGAGGACTGCTTGAGGCCAGGAGTCCAAGACCAGCCTCATCAACATAGTGAGACCCCCATCTCTTGGGGGAAAAAAAAAGAGAATTAAGCTCAAATGAGGTCATCAGGTGGGCCCTAATCTCATATGACCAGGAGTGATTAGGCCACACACATCACAGGAAAACCATGTGCGGACACAGGGAGAAGACGACCGTCTACAAAGCCAAGGGGAGAAGGCTCAGAAGAAACCAGCTCTGCCAATGACATGTGCATCTCAGATTTGCAGCTTCTAGAGTTGTGAGAGAATGAATTGCTATTGTCAAAGCTGCCCAGTCCGCAGTGCTTTATGACGGCAGTCCTAGCAAAGGAGTGTGCTTTGATACTCAGTTGCTTATATGGAATGTATAACTTATTATCTCTACTGAAGCTTTGAAGAAAATACTTTTGAGGCAAAACAACAGAAAGAAAAAGACATACAAATAGTGAGGTATCTTTGCAGCCAAGCACCAAAAACCCTTAGCAACAATATTACCTTAGGCAGCGTTTTCTGGAGCTTGGCTCGTTGTTTTTCTTCTTTTAGAAGGTTTCCTCCCCGATTGGTAAATCGATTCGGATCTGAAGCTTTTCTCTGTGAAAAATACAGTTAGTGGAAAACCTGGCACCGTAAGACCAGTAATTTCTGTTAAGACGCTTTGTTCTCATAAAATGATATGATTAAAGCCACTCAAAGAGGTCTGCATTCCTGCCTGCTCCCGGCAGTGAGGAACTGTGATGTTCTAAAGCCAGTGAGCTGCGGACACTCTCACACACGGGCAAGATCATTCACTGGGGTGCAGGAAAACTACTGTTTCTTTTTAATCTAGAAAGACAGACTCTAATGTTTAACATCACTGGCTTCCTTCATTGGTTTGGATGTCAGATGATGACGTCTCTCCAGGAGACAGGTGTGTGAAGGGACAAGGAGGAGGGTCTGCACTCAGAAATCTGATGGGGGCACCTTTAGTTGCTCACTCACTGCCAGCATTCTCAAACAATGCAGCTTCAATGTGCACAGTGAGGAGATTTATAGATAATCTGGTTTTTGCTAAATGTACCCTTAAAATGGATGTTAAAAATGTAAAATGTTTGCCAGGCGCAGTGCCTTACGCGTATCATCCCAGCACTTTGGGGGTCTGAGCCGGCAGATCATCTGAGATTAGGAGTTCAAGACCAGCTACTTGGGAGGCTGAGGTAGGAGAATCGCTTGAACCCGGGAGGCGGAGGTTGCAGTGAGCCGAGATCATGCCATTGCACTCCAGCCTGAGTGACAGAGCAAGATTCCGTCTCTAAAAAAACAGCTGAAACAAAAACACATAAACTAGGGCAGTACCTCAAACTCTAAGAAAAGCCTCCAGCTTTCTTCCCACTTCCGGACATCTTCAAAGAGTTCCCTGTGAGCTTCATAATAGTTTCTTAACCGCACAATCTCAGCATCATGGAGTTGGAGCAGATTTTCTGTGTATTCCTCTGCAAAATATAGGCCCAATATTTTAAAACAATTCGTCTAGTGTTTAGTATCCAATTTTTCCCATTCCCTAAGGTGGAAATAGGTTTTTTTTCCTTATAGTAAAATGATACAGGAACAGGCGTGTGTGTGCAATAGATGATAGTGGTTAATAAAAACCAGCTTTGTCACAATCGGCCTGGGAGACTGGAGTCTAAGAGACTAGTATAGAGACTAAAATATGTCAAAAATCTGCATCATCTCTTGCCTTGTCTCAGGTTTCTTTCATAGTCCTCCTTTTTTTTTTTTAAAGAGACAGGGTCTCGATATGTTGCCCAGGCTGGACTGCAGTGGTTTGACCTGCTCCATTTCCGACCTGGGCTGGTTCACCCCTCCTTAGGCAACCTGGTGGTCCCCCACTCCTGGGAGGTCACCAGATTGATGCCGAACTTAGTGCGGACACCCGATCGGCATAGCACACTACAGCCCAGAACTCCTGGGCTCAAGAGAGCCTCCAGCCTCAGCCTCCCGAGTAGCTGGGACTATAGGCACACGCCACCGCGGCCAGTGGCTCATATTCTTCCTTTCTGTCCTGCCCAGCCAGTAGATGGGGGAATCACAGAAAATGTGCAAAAATAGCTATTGAATTTAGTTGGGATAGCTTCATTTTTACACTTAGTTCGGCTCAGACTACAATTCCACTGGGCTCCAGGAGGCAAGCTCCTTTTGGCTCCGACGGAGGCTCTGGCATTTCCCACTGTATGTCTCTGGATTAAGTTACTCAGCATGTATGTGCTTTAGTGTCCTCACCTCTTGACATGAGGAGTCTGTGGAATAATATTGTCAAGGGTTTGACACTGCACCTGGCAGGAAGGAAGCCCCTGACAGAAACTGAAGCTTCACAGCTAGAGCCTACAGTGACACACTGCTTCAGAAAGCAAGAGGCCAATATTTCCCAATAATATTTGCAAATGCTCTTCCATACAGGAATGGCAGTTATACTCAATGTCTTGAAAAGCTGGCATCATCTGTTCAGAAGAGGAAACACTTCTGGGGAATGTCTGCACTTGTTAAAAACTAGTGAGCAGGTCACAGGAAGACGCCATTTCTGGCTGGGTGTGGTGGCCCAACACTTTGGGAGGCAAGTGGGGGATTGTTTGAGCCTAGGAATTTGAGACCAGATAACAGTAAGACCTGTCTCCAAACAAACCAACCAAGACTTCACTCCCGTACTCACCAGTATGGAAAGGGGCAAAGGCTTGTCTCTGCTCCTGGCTGTAAAAGCACTGGTCCCAGTGCTGAGCCAGCTCCACTCGAGTTGCCTCAATCAGTTTCTTCAGGTTTTGCATTTTTCGTTCTTCCAACCGATCCACTTCTAATTGCAGCTGAAAGAAAGAGGCTTGCTAAAGGTGGCTGCCATACTTCTGTGTGCATTTAGGTTTGCAGAAGTTTCCCCCTTTTAAGTAAAATTATAATGCAAAGCATTATAAATCACTTTTTTTTTTTTTTGACAGGGTCTCTTTTTCTCACCCAGACTGGAGTGCAGAGGCGCAATCTTGGCTCACTGTTACCTCTGCCTCCCAGGTTCAAGTGATTCTCCTGCCTCAGCCTCCCAAGTAACTGGGGTTACAGGTGCACACCACTACCACGCAGCTCATTTTTATATTTTTAGTAGAGACGGGATTTCACTGTGTTGGCCAGGCTGGTCTTGAACTCCTGACCCCAAATAATCCACTCGCCTCAGTATCCCAATGTGCAGGGCTTACAGGCGTGAGCTACTGCGCCCAACAAAATCAACACTCTTTATAACTAACACAGAAGTGCTGAGAGAAGACTGCTGACCCAGCACCCATTGGGTTTCTTACCGCTTTCCGAACCTTGGCCTTTGACCCAGACATAATGGTGGCCACAGCTTCTCTCTCTTCTTCAGGTATTTGCAGCCTGTCCCAGAGCTCTCGGATTTGAGTGCGCAGACCCTCACACACTGCTTCATTTTGTGATTTCTGCATTTCCAGCTGCAGCACAGAAAGCCAGTGTCATTCACAGCAAAGCAGAAGCACAGAGACTAGCCCTTTGGCTTCCTACAAAGAAACGTCTGGATGCACAGGGAGAGGAGGCCCTTCCATGAGAGTTCAAAGCAGTGTTTTCATGCCTTCTAAACACAAACTGTAAGCTGTCAGGATCTCAGACTCCAAGAATTAGCATTCAAATTTAGAACGGAAAAGAACGTTTAAAACACTAAGCTAACTCAAATGACTAATATTATTTCATCTATCATTTCAATTTCATTTTCTTGGAGCTACATATAAAGGTTTTTTAACCGTTACAAAACAGAAATCAAGATTGTCTATATTACTATCGTTATCGTCTCTCATTCTCTTACCTGCGTTGGCTCCTTATTTAAGACTGTAGGAAAAAATGTGGTTTTTTTTTTTTTTCTTGAGACGGAGTTTCGCTCTCGTTACCCAGGCTGGAGTGCAATGGCGCGATCTTGGCTCACCGCAGCCTCCGCCTCCTGGGTTCAGGCAATTCTCCTGCCTCAGCCTCCTGAGTAGCTGGGATTACAGGCACGCGCCACCATGCCCAGCTAATTTTTGTATTTTTAGTAGAGACGGGGTTTCACCATGTTGACCAGAATGGTCTCGATCTCTTGACCTCGTGATCCACCCGCCTCGGCCTCCCAAAGTGCTGGGATTACAGGCGTGAGCCACCATTTTTTGTTGTTGTTGTTATTTTCTCTGAGACAGTCTCGCTGTGTTGCCCAGGCTGCAGTGCAGTGGCACGATCTTGGCTCACCGCAACCTCCGCCTCCCAGGTTCAAGCGATTCTCCTGCCTCAGCCTCCCAAGTGGCTGGGATTACAGGCATCCGCCACCACACCCAGCTAATTTTGTATTTTTAGTAGAGATGGGGGTTTCACCATATTGGCCAGACTGGTCTCGAACTCCTGACCTTGTGATCCGCCCGCCTCGTCCTCTCAAAGTGCTGGGATTACAGGCATGAGCCACCACACCCAGCAACTGTCAGTTCTTTCAAACTGCTCTATACTAGGGAGATCCCAGGGATAATTTGAGACGTACCTGCTGTAGTAACTTCTGTAGTGTTGCAATATTCTCCAAAGACAAGCAAAAGGCATCTTCGTCTTCACACACCACATCTCTTTCGAAGCTTGTGTCTGGGGTGTGGTCTAATTCCTCCATACACAGTATGATCTGTCTCTTTATACTGACAAACTCCGCACGCCTAGAAGCCTTTAAAACAAAGCAATTACAAGATACCTAGAGGAAAACCAAAGTGACTTTTAGGAAGTATGAATGTAGGCAGTGTACCTTTGTTTCCCTCAAAGTTGCCACATGTTGCCTGAACTGGTTCAGCTCTTCTAAGCTGGGCACTGAGGTGCTATCAATATCGTAGTGGGGCATACAAAGAATTTCACACAGTTCTTGATCTTGTTGTTCAAGCAGCTTCAGTTCCTGTTTTCTCTCCTTTTTCTGTTTTCGCATCAATTCCACCTGCGTGCGCAAATCTTTTTCTAGTTGCAAGGTGGTCGTCTCTCCTTCTTCCTGAATAAGACAATGTACCACTGTTATAAGATTCCAAGTGAATTCCTTCAAAGGAAGAGAAAGACAAGAGAAGGCGGCTAGGATGACAGACTTTCAGTTAAACTTACAAGTCAGTCAACTCATGGTCAACAGAAAATGGCACAAAGGTTTTCCTAAGGAAGGTCCCAGGGAAGAAAAGTGAACAGGTACCAGGGTACTTTTTCCCCCAATTAAAAAAATTGTGGTAGGATACATATAAAATTTACTTTCTTAACCATTAAGTGTAGAGTTCAGTGGTATTAAGTGTAGCGTTCGGTGGTATAAAAAGCGTAGCATTCGGTGGTATTAAGCGTAGCGTTCGGTGGTATTAAGCGTACCGTTCGGTGGTATTAAGTGTACCGTTCAGTGGTATTAGGTACAGCTATATTGTTATGCAGCCCTGACCATCACCTCCAAACACATTTCCTCTTGCAAAAGTGAAATTTCGTACTCAAATTTCAGTCTCCAGTTTTTCCCTTCCCCAAGCCTGGCAACCACCATTTTACCTTTTGTCTCTATGATTAGACTTCTCCAGGCACTGGGCACTTTTATGAAAAGTGTAAATTGGCTGGAAAGCTTGCTGTGGGTTAGCTGCAGGGTGGTATGACCAGCTCATACCTAAATACTCAGTCTTCTATGGACATCATCACATCATCTCACCTTACCAACAAAACCCATCTCGTCGTCCCTGCCATACTCCTAACCGGTAACCAGGAAAAAAAAGTGGCATTTTTTTCATAGGACATATAAATTTTTCTTATATGTCCTATAAATTTACACAATTTCATTTAACATTGTGAACTAATCTATTATACTTAAGACATTTATGTTGACTCCAAGAAGCTCCACTTCATGTTCTCCTCTGCCTGATTGTTCTTGGCTACCAGGTGTGGATTCTTTGCCCTTTAAAGGTGATCTCCCTCCTAGGCTAACTCCAAACAGATACCTAGGCAGGTCTTCCTGTAACAGGAGGAGGGACCTGAGAACCTTCTGGCTGCACTCATTATCTTTCCAAGCTCCACATCTGTCCTAATTTTTATGATCCTGGCACTGCTTCCACTGGTTCTAAGCAGAGATGTTTCAGTACCCCATGTTTCATTTCATCCTTGCTGGTGTCCTCACTCAAGTCCAACTTGCAGTGACCCACAATACAGCCACCTCTGAGCTCCATCCACCCACAGGTGACAGGGCATGTTCTGAACTGCACTTTGCACTCCTGATATTCCAGGTTTTGAGGCATTTCTTCTAAAGTAGCTATTTTGGTTGGTTCAGTGTATGCAGCTTCTGAGTATGATAAAACCCACAGAGGTTGTTTTTTTTGGTAGTATTCCTTTTTATCATTAGTTAATTTTGCTTCCTGTTTTCATTTTCTTTCAGAGAAAAAACAGTGCAGTAGTATCTATACCTACCTTTCTTTCAGAGATTATAAAAAAAACTAATATTCCCTCCAAAGCAAAACTACGGTAAGCGGTAGCGTCTTTCTGATCATCTCTTAGTTGCTTCGCCTCCCACCAGGGCAGCTCTCCACAGAGGCGAGAATTCCTCTGCAGGGCCTAATTAACGATGCACCATGTTTCCCCATTTCTCATGTCTAGCTCCACCCCCACCAGGAAGCCTCTCATCAGCTGCAGGCCCAAGTCAATGCTGCTTCCTAAATCTCAGGCCCTGCACAGTTTCCCTGCAGACCCTGTGGGCGCCACGGACCTGAAATGGCTCGACGCCTAACTCGGTGCACAGAGTGTTCAGCTCTTTTTGACAGACGGATATGCTTTTGATGAGTCTTTCCTTCAGGCTTTCCTCTTCAGCAATCATCATATCCAGGAGTTCCTACAAGAGCGAAAACAGTCCATAATACTGAGGCTATGGAGGAAAAAAACTCCCAACACCAAACTCCTCAAATTTTTCTTTTTTTTTTTCTTGAGACAGAGTCTCACTCTGTCACCCAGGCCAGAGTGCAATGGCGAGATCTCGGCTCACTGCAACCTCCACCTCCCGAGTTCAAGCGATTCTCCTGCCTTGCCTCCCGAGTAGCTGGGATTACAAGTGCCCACCACTGCACCTGGCTAATTTTTGTATTTTTAGTAGAGACGGGGTTTTACCATGTTGGTCAGGCTGACCTCAAGCAATCCACATGCCTCGGCCTCCCAAAGTGCTAGGATTACAGGCATGAGCCACTGCGCCCAGCCTCATCAAATTTCAAGAAGGGACTTCAAAACCAAACAGGAAGAGCCTGTGCTATCCTAACGCTGTGATCACATATCCCTTCTGTGTGCTATCTGAGGTGAGACACCAACATTCTTACCCTGGTCCAATGCACAGCCCAGTACTATTCAACCCACCTTGATATGCTTCTTTACCACCTCAGTTCTTTGTAACCGCTGGTCCTCTGGAATCCCAATTAGCTCCCATATTTCCCGAAGGTGATTTAGGGCTTTCTGCAGACATACTATGGACTCCTCCGCCAGCACCTCACTGAAAACCAAAAAATAAGGCCTGTTAGTTACATCAGTCACAGCCTCTAGACTAAAAGCACTATTTTCAAGAACCAAAAAGACTAGCTTCTCATGGCCGAGCATGGTGGCCCATGCCTGTAATCCCAGCACTTTGGGAGGCCGAGTCGGCCAGATCACCTAAAGTCAGGAGTTCGAGACCAGCCTGGCCAATATGGTGAAACCTCGTCTCTACTAAAAAGACTAGCTTCTCACTGGCCTCGAGTCAAAAGCACATTGAAAACAAGCATCTGGCTTAATTCACCTTTAACCACTCCCCATCCCTTTTCCTGCCAGATGTCACCAGTGATGCAAGATTTCATATCACATTACATCATGGAAACTCAACCTTCTGGACTTGCATCAGTCATCTACCTATGGAAGTAGAATACAGAATTATAAATACTTTTACTAAAGAAAACCAGACAAAAATGTTGGTAAAATAAACTAACACAAGAACTTGCTGGTGAGAAGCTCCTACAAAATATCTGGCAATTTATTACTAGTTTTTGGTTGTTCTTTTTTTCTTTGAGACAGTGTGTTGCTCTATTACCCAGGCTGGTGTGCAGTGGCATGATCTTGGCTAACTGCAGCCTCGGCCTCCCGGGTTCATCCCGCCTCCTGGGTTCTCCTGACTCAGCCTCCTGAGTAGGTGGGACTACAGGCGTCTGCTACCGTGCCAGCTAATTTTTGTATTTTTAGTAGAGACGAGGTTTCGCCATGTTGGCCAGGCTGCTCTCGAACTCCTGACCTTAGGTAACCCACCTGCCTTGGCCTCCTAAAAGTGCTGGATTATAGACATGAGCCACTGTGCCCGACCTTTTTACTTTATTCATTTATTTATTATTATTATCATTATTATTATTATTTTGGAGACAGAATCTCACTCCATTGCCCTGGCTGGAGTACAGTGGTGTGATCTTGGCTCACTGCAACCCCTGCCTCCCAGGTTCAAGTGATTCTCCTGCTTCAGCCTCCCAAGTAGCTCAGATTACAGCCGTGCACCACCATGCTGGCTGATTTTTGTATTTTCAGTAGAGATGGGGTTTTACCATGTTGGCCAGGCTGGTCTCAAACTCGTGACCTCAAGTGATCCACCTGTTTTGGCCTCCCAAAGTGCTGGGATTACAGGCGTGAACTGCCATACCTGGCCCATTATTCTTACAATACAACTAGCAGCTCAAAGAATGGCTAAAGTTAAAAAGACAACATTAAGTGTTGGTGAATATAGAGAAAAGTGAGAACTTTCATATACTGCTGGCATGGTGTAAGCTGGTACAACTATTTTTAAAACTGTTGGCAGTCTATCTCCTAAAGCTGAACCCAGCAGTTCTACCTCTACATACAGAGCTAGCAGAAATGAACACATATGTTCACCAAAGACACTTATGAGAATGGTCAGAGAAGCGTTACTCATAAAGCATGGAAACAGAAACAGGCTAGATGTCTATCAACAGAATGAATAGTACATTCCCACAATGCAATAACACAGCAATGAAAATGAACAAACCCACCGTGTGTGGTGGCTCATGCCAGTAATCTCAGCACTTTGGGAGGCCGAGGCAGGCCACCTTGGAGCTAGAAACTTTCATTAGGTCCTTTTTGTCTCACAGAGTTCAGTGGTTCTACAAGTCACCAGCCTAAATCTCTAACAATGTGTCTCTCCAAAGCTGTTAACACATTCATATCCAAAATATCTCTGGCCATGAAATCCCAGTTAGAGGTTGCCTGTCCTTGAGAAACGTTTCTACACAAATACCTGTTGCCTATGCCAGATGGCCATACCACCAATACCCAAATATTGACAAATGTTTAAAAGAATTCACTCTACTCCCTTCACTTTAAAAATGTTGACAGTTCAAGTCCAACAGAAGGAAAAAAAGAAATGTTAGTAAGTAAGCCATTTATTTAATACAATCTCAGCTAAAGTCCAACTAAAGAGCTTCCTCAGGCAAACACTCCTTTTGCACTTCATTTTGAAGACAAAAGAATGCACAAGTTAAAAAATCCTAATATTAACATTTTATTAAAAATAACTCTTAAGATCCAATCTGTGGCCAATATTTAACCTGGATGCAAAGCCCTGGCTTTGAGACAGGCCAGCTAGGGGCACTGCTCTGGAGGTCATTACTTCAGTAAGTGTCCCAGAGTCTCCTTCGTCTGACAGACCTACCCCTGCCTAGCCCATCTCCACATGACAGCTAGTTTGTCATGACAACAAATCCGATCAGATCCCTGGCTAAGGGATCCCCTTCAAAGACCCCACTGTCCTCGGGAAATAGTTCAACCACCTTCCACGGAAAAGCCTTCTCAAACCTCTCTCCAAGCCTGTCTGCTTATCTTTCCCACTTGTCTCTCCCAAGTCTTCGGCCATTCCTGGAACAATGGCCCTCAATAAACCACATGCAGTCCTCATTTGGGTTTCATGCAGCCCTCATTTCTTCATGCCACCGTGCTTTGTACCTTCAGTCCCTTCTATCTGCCACCACCTCCTCTGGAGAGCTGTGGACTTGTCACTCACTTCCCATTTTCCCCCAGCCCCCCAGTAGACCATACATTCCAGGGCAAGGACCTCCACATCTTCATTTTACCACACCCTAATGCATAGTAGTTGTTCCACAGATGTAACATGAATGGCCCTGAATTCCTGCCAAAGGGTCCTGTGCTCCTAACCTACCTAACCTAATAGAGGTATTATGCATTCTCAGATCCTGACAAAGGTTTGCAAGCAGGGCTGC